GATGGCTCAGTCGGTTGTGATTGGTCTACTGTGCTCTGATTGGTCAGATGGGTCAGTCTGTTGTGACTGATCTACTCTGCTCTGATTGGTCAGATGGCTCAGTCTGTTGTGATTGATCTACTCTGTTCTGATTGGTCAGATGGCCCAGTCTGTTGTGATTGGTCTACTCTGCTCTGATTGGTCAGATGCCCCAGTCTGTTGTGATTGGTCTACTCTGCTCTGATATGTCAGATGGCCCAGTCTGTTGTGATCGGTCTACTCTGCTCTGATTGGTCAGATGCTCCAGTTTGAATCTCAGCTCTTGATGCTCTCTTCCAGTCTCAGTTAAATTAGTGTTTGAGGGCGGAGCAACGAGACGCTGTCCAGCCAATGAACACCACAGGCTGGCATTATGCTAATAAGTTATATTGCTAATAAGTTAGGTTTGTAACAGACTGGAATTACTGACGACTTTTTTTCAGGCAGTTCAGAATTGATTCTTTCTTTTTTTTTCTCACATTTTTCTTTTAGGAGACAACAACCTTGCATCTAAACTTTGCAGAACTTTTACATTCACAAACAGCTTTATTACTCATTACATGAACCGTCACATCCGAAAAAGCATAATAGCGGCACTTGAAAGTCAAGTTTATTAAAGCTCCTTTTGTAAAACTGAACTGACATCAAGCAGTTTAAAGTCAGACCGAATGCGTTCAGACAAACCTTTTGAATTTAGCACTTATAATAATACTTATTTACAAATCTATCTTTGGTGAAAGGAAAACGTCATGATGATCTAGTGTGTGGATCTAGAGCAGCGGGTCACGACACCCGCCAGGGGTCACCAGGGGGTCACATCTGAACTGACTATGATTTTACTAGTAGTAACCATAATCAAATCATCCTCGCAGTGAACACAAGCGATGTCTCTTCTAGCTCAGTGCGATATGAACTACTGCTGTCAAAAAGTTTCATTCTCATCACTCAAAATAAAGACACAAATCAGTGAACGTGAGTGATGATGATGTGATCATCTCTAAACTGTGATCGCTCCTGATACATTGCTTCTTCAGGGTCCCAGGAAAGATGAAATAGCAGGTAAATTGATGAATTAGTAATTAATAACCTGTCTTCAGGGTCCCAGGAAAGATGAAATAGCAGGTAAATTGATGAATTAGTAATTAATAACCTGTCCACAGATACTGAGCACTCTTGCACACTAGACACTCGTATATTTGGTTTCATATCAGCAGAAAACACAATGTTGTGAAGCATTTGGCCTGTAAAAGTCCAGGAGAAACACTGATCATGATACTTCATGCATTAATGTTAAATCCAGTATCATTCTCGTTATAAACAATATTAATAAAACGTATTAATAATATTAATCTTCAAATCTTTTGAAAATATAAAAGGGGTTTTACCAATTCAGAAACTCAACTTTCACTATTTTCTTGAGCAAATTTGCACCAAATTTGAAACATCAGTATGCAAATATTATTTTCACACTGACCATCTGTAAACTAAAACTTCTTTGCGTTAAACAATCTTTTTCAGTTCAGTTATAAATCCAGAGTGAATCCTGATCGTCAGTGGCAGTGATGGATGGATACATGCACTGCTGACATCTAGTGGCGCGCTTTAGTTATTACAACCTGAGATCATTAGAGTAAATTAATGAAGCTTTTCAAATGATTTGATTTCTTCTCATGGTTGTTGCTTTAATAATCCTCTTTCTTTAGTGTTGTGTAAATTAAACACTAAGTTATTTGTTTTGATGATTTGTGTCAAACGTGTATCAAACATGAATAAGTCCACAGGAAAATCCAGTTATAGCTATTCTCTGGTTTTTCTGTTCACATATTAATATCCATGTTCGGAATATTCCAGCCAGTTAAGTTGTTCCTCTGGGTTCAATGCCAGTTTACACTAACAAAACTGAATTTGAATAATATTTTTTGCTTTTATAATAGTTAGTTCTATAATAATTATTGAATGTTATAATTACTTTATATGGAATTTAATATATATGTAAGTATGGATATATTTACAGTATACGACCACAAGAAGGAAGCAGCTACTAATTGCCTATTACTAATAGGCAATGCTATAATAATGGCTAATAAAAATGATAATAATAAAATCAGTTCGTCAGTGTAATGTTCACTCATGGCCACCAGATAGCGCCAGACGCTCGGATTTACGAGTGGCTCGAAGTTTGAACTCTACACTGATGTTAGTCTAATAATACATCAGGCCATTCAGAAGTTTAATAAAATGAATAAAATTTCTGATATTTAGCAAATTAGTATGTTTTTACATTACATTAACATTTGTGCATTTAGCAGACGCCTTTGTCCACACACAGTGACTTACAATAGTAGAGGAACTTAAGTAGTTTGTCACAGAGCAGCTATAAAATAAAAGTTTATTAGAAACAAGAAAGATGAGAGGAGAAATGCTGAGAAAATAAGAGGATTTTTCTTCAAAGCCAACCATTAAAATAAAATTGCTGTAGATCTAAACACACTATATAGTTATGTTGACTTTGTCAAGCCAACATACTGATCTACGATTTAAGATTATAAGTTTCCATGTTGCCTTAACTCATCTTTGATCACCAAAATGACATTTAAACGTTTTTGTTCCTTGAAAAAAAATGTCTTCATGCCTTAAAATCGCTTGAATGTAACTCGACACCCTTGCCTTATTTAGTATACGCAGTTCTATGAATATGCAAATGAGCCCCGCCTCCACTCACTCAGCTCAGAGATCCACTGGTTGACTATCACACGTTGATCTGATTGGTTACAAGGTCGTTTGTGACGTCAGAAACACCAGCGATGTCTTTGGTTCACTGCAGTTTTAAGCAGAAAATACTCAGCAATGCTGTCGACTTATGAATTTACACATGGTTTGTCTTAAAGCGTATTAAAAACACCACATAGACACATAAACAACATTAAAAGCTGGATTTTCACCACAGGGGGACTTTAAGCTTATTTGTTAAATGGATGATCAAAACTTTAAAATTTCCCATCAAGACTCATGTTACAGAGAACAACATGTTAAAACAGGCTAGCAACATGCTAATCATGCTAGCAACATGTTAATCATGTTAGAAATATGGTAGCAACATGCTAATCATGCTAGGAACATGTTAGCAACATGCTAGAAATGTTAACAAAAAGCCAATAATGTTAACAACATGTTAACAACATACTAATCAAGCTAACAACATGTTAAAAAATGCTAACAGTGATAGTAACATTTTAAAAACATGTTACCAACTTGTTAAAACATGTTAACAGCATGCCTATCATGGTAACAACATGCTAGCGAAATGTTCATCATGCTAACAATATGTTAATCATGTTTGAAATATGCTAACATGCTAATCATGTTAGTAATGTTAATAATGCTAATAAAATGCTAGCAACATGCTAATCATGTTAACAACAGGCTAAAACATGATGTCAACATGTTATTCTTGTTAACAACATGTTAACATTTTTAACAATGCTAGCAACATATTAACACATGCTAGCAGCATATTATAACATGTTAGCGAACATGCTATCAACATGCTAACAAAATGCCAATCATGCCATCAAACTTTACTCATCTAGTGTTAGTTGTCACTCTAACGTTACATTAAAGTTTACCACAGTAAGTTTCAGCCAAAATATCATAGTTATAGTTATTATTCAGTAGTGGCAGTACTGACTAATAGGCCTACATGTTACTGCAGTTTTACTTTAGTAATTTTGCTAAAGTTCACATTTACTGCGGTAATGTTTCCCCCTGATAAACTCTGTTCAGGACAGTGAGTGTTTATATTCCCAGGCGTCTCCTTCATCCTGCTGTCAGTCATCCTGCGCGTCTGTGCGAGCGGAACACGCTCCTCTTTCCCTCCGAAAGCGTTTAATCATTTATCCTGCAACTGCCTGAGCGCTTTAAAAGCCGACGCGAAGCGAGAGACTCGTTCTGATGGCGTCGCTGTCAGTGTGCGCGTGCGTGCGTGTGTGTGTGTGTGTGTTCGCGCGCGGCCGCGAGCTCTTCCGTGTCACCGGCGCTTCTCTCTGTAGGAGCTCAGAGACGAGCATCTGCCCTCGGATCCTCAGAGCTCCTCTCCTCTCTGTATCCGTCCCTCTCATTGTAGCAGCCCTGCTTTATATAGTTTAAAGGGTTGAAGGTTGAAGGTTTTACAGGCGGATTGATTCATTTTTGGACCAGGGTGAAAAAAATATCCTGATTCTGAAAAGGAATTATCCAGAATGTCTGACCCGTAGACGTCCACTCTAAGTTCATTAATGCAAACATGATTTTTCAGGTGGAAAAAATGGTAATAATCAACATTATGCCATAAATTCTGTTGAAGAAATATATAGTTCAGTGATGACACTTTAGAAGGCGCAGGCTGATGGTCCTTTACATGCAGGCTACAAGCAATCACATCATCACCGCATGGCACAAGCTGATTGGCCTCTGCTGATCCTGCAGCCAATGAGATTGCTTGCTCCACATTTAAATAGTGTGGTTGATTGTTTGCTGTAAGCTAGTCCTGCAGTTCCTCTGAACCCCTCCTCCTCCCCAGCTCCTCCTGCCTAGATCTGAGACAGGATTCATGTCTATATACAGCAAATCTTACATGCTCACAGCAGCGTGTGTGTGTGTGTGTGTGTGTCTGTTATCAGTAACAAGTCCATACTTACTCAGCAGCAGCAGCAGGGTAGTGACCAAATACATTAACATTGGCATATTCAATAACATACTAAAATTATTATGAGAGTTGCCATGATTTAAATTTTAAAATGTATTTGAGTCTTTCTAGTTCACTCAGTACTGAACAAAACTCTGTCAAAGCTCGAGTGTGATGAAGTTACTCACACACACACTAGTGCTCTGTTTTTCAAATCTGATCATTTGCCTTTTCCATTATAAACCTGCTCTCAATCCTCTCTCTCTTTCCCCCCTCCTTTCTTTATGTTCCCCTTCTCTTGCTCCTCTCCTCCCTGCAGTCTCCTGTTAGCACTCAGGCGATCCGTCCCGCTCCCGCGGCTCAAACTAAACTGGTCCAGTCCAGTTCACCGGCCCAGACCAGCACCGCAACCGGCCCCACTGTGAGCACCAGTCCTCTCTCTCTCTCTCTCTCTCTCTCTCTCTCTCTCTCTCTCTCTCTCTCTCTCTCTCTCTCTCTCTCTCTCTCTCTCTCTCTCTCTCTCTCTCTCTCTCTCTCTCGCTCTCTCTCTCTCTCCCACTCTCTCACTCTCTCTCTCTCTCTCTCTCTCTCTCTCTCTGAATTCTGGTTAACACTTTATATTACAGTGTCCTTGTTACATATGTTACATGTACTTACCGTAGTAATAACTGTAAATTATGCATAATTACATGCAACTAACCCTCAACCAAACCCTAATCCTACCCTAACCCTATAGTAAGTACATGTGGTTACTAAATATTACTCAGTACTTAAATATATAATTACACTGTAAATAAAGTGTAACCAAATTCTGTTTTAATTTAAAATTTTAATCAATAAGAAACATGAGGCAGTGCTGTATATCAAGAATATACAGGTTACACTTTATTTTAAAGTGTCATTGTTTCAGTGTAATTATATAACAGCATGTACTTACTATAGGGTTAGGTTAGGTTTGGTTTAGGGTTAATTGCATGTAATTCTGCATAATTTACTGTTAGTACTATGGTAAGTAAATGTAACATTTGTAACAAGGACACTGTAAAATAAAGTGTTACCGAATATTGTCACAAATTTAGTTTTAGATAGTTTTAAATTTTAGATAATATTTTTATGATGGCTCTCAATACGGGGCCTCAGCAAACATCCAGACTTAAAATAATTTAAAATAAGACTAAACAAGCTTTAAAAAACAGCTGAAACAGCCTAAATTTAAGATGCAAGCTGACATCATATTTCGTTTTTTATTGGTTCCCTCAAAAAATGTCACTTTATTTAAGTGACTTACAGGTGAAACTCGAAAAATTTGAATATCGTGCAAAAGTTCATTTATTTCAGTAATTCAACTTAAAAGGTGAAACTAATATTGTATGAGAGAATTTCAAAAGTGCGATTTTATTTTATTTCATTTTTTTACCTGAAAATTCATACAAATTTTTCCAAATATTCCAATGTACATTTTTCCAAATATTCTATTGGGTAGAAATGTCTATTTCAGTAAGAAATCATTTTAAAAACATGACAAAACAAACATAATCATGAATTAAATATCATGTAAATTAAGTGGAAATAAAAACAGTAAAGTCTAAAGAACATTCAGATATTAAAACCTCTGGATTTATGTAATTTGATTATTTTAATTATTTATAATTATTTAATTGAATTATTTTAATATATTGCCACTGCTATAGTGTCCATAAATAAAAACGTTTGAAAATGAGTATCTTTATCATCACAGCAGAAGTATTAGAAATATCTTGGTGAAA